TAAATCTCAAGATGAATGTCAAGCGATCTATCATAACTGTTGAATTAATAACGCCGTTGCGGATGTTTGCCGTCGGATTAAATACGGTCCAGTGGCGCGCGGGATTTCAATCTATAAAACAATTTCATCGCGAGAGCGTTGCATCGTAAAGGTAAATTCCATTACGATGCCAGTGTAACGGCGTTGGGATCCACGTACGATTATTACAAGCCGATATTAGAACTCGTAGGTCATGGGCTGCTGCTCACCGGGAAATTGCAATTTTATGCCCGACAAGACGCGTGATAGAGAAATTATGACCCTCTGATCACCCTTGCAAACCTTCGCGCGCGCAAAAGGTTATCGAAGATTTTCTTCTTTTCTCTCCCTTTTTTGGCGGGATAAAATCCTCCTCCCCCCCTTTCCCCCCACGTTTTCTATGAGAGGACACGAGATGATGGCGAGGACTCGTGGGCGGTATCGACCTTTTCGACATGGTCGCTATGCAGACTATCATCGTGCACTCCGTAAAATATATAAGGTGCGCGATAAAATTCCTATAAACTATGATTTTCCCTTATACATTTTTATGAAAAAAATAAAAGAGTAATCATATAATAAAAATATAATATTTATATAAAATATATATCTATCGCGCACAACGCGACGTCTTCATATATTTCAGTATTGCATTATTAATCGGATTAATTTAAATGCCAGATTCTTTAATCGATTTGGATTCTACTTCTCTGTTGACTTAAAATGAATATATGCATTTGCCTTTTTGAATTCAATAATAGAAATAAAAGAAATTGAATTTTGTTGGTTCAATTTCTTCGAATTAAGCGCGATAAAATATTTAACGTTTAAAATTGAAAAATTTCGCGTGGAAAACTATGGAAATAAAATGAACGAAGCTTGGTACATTATATAGATAGCGAGTCATGTTAACTTCGTCGACGACGGCGCAGGTGGTATATCGGTCGCAGGATGTAATCGGAAGAAACGACGTATAGATTATTTGAACGAGGACGGGATTACTCGAAGATGAACAAATGCTACCGTGAAACGATATATATGCTCGTAGTTCAGGATTAAAACTCAGTCTCTTTGAAGTTACGAGTACTGTAGTACAGACGAAACAAAGCAGACTTGAATATTAAACACAATCGTCAATGTCTTTTTTTTTCCTTTAAAAAAGTAGAGATAATCTTTAGTGGTCCCCATCATTTTATCGAACCTTACTTCGTGGCAGTAAAAGAAACGAGATAAAAAAAGATTTATGTAAGTATTGAAAATGCGGAACAAGAGCTCTTAAATTAGATACATCGTAACAGGTTCGCGACCGTTAAATTTAACAACCCCGTCATAGTTCTCTGGCTATTATGCGAATTATCAATTTTCAACTTAATAACGCGGAAAAGAAATAGTATGGAGGGTCTGGAAAAGCTTTCAAAGCTCTATTAAGTGGATCGTACTGAAAATTAAAGGCAGACGACTAACCTAAGCAATAAATGCACCCAGCACGTGTACACCAAGTTGTGTTCAAAGTAATTGCATGAAGAACGATTTTATAGATCTATATATCTAATATTTTTTTATCAATTAATACACTTTTCTCAGTAAGCAATTCGAAAGGAATTAAAACGGAAAAATAGAAAACATGTTATCAGAGATGCGAAATATTTTCTTTTATCTTTTTTCTTATAAATAACACATAATAAAATAAATATACAATAATAAGGTAACAAGAAAATTAATGATAAATATTAACTAATCTCGCAACTATTTTTTGTATTTTCAATATTATTAAAAATATATGCAAGTATTCTAGAAATAGAAATACAATTTAATATTTTAAAATGTATTACTTCAAATTAATACTGAAATTAAATAGATTAATTTAAAATATTAAAATAATTTAATTTAATACATTTTAATAATAGAAACAATATTTTGAAATAACATACAACATTTGTCAAATGTTAGATCGCAGTTTGCTTAAAACGATGACTTATCGAAAGTTATTATTATTGCGAGATCGAGTTACTTCTTCAAAGCAAATATTTGAAAGCTTTCTCAGGAAGTGTATAGTGCAACAGGTATAGTTGAAGTTAACCTAACAGAGCAAAATGTCGCAATAATGATCGACAAGAAGTGAAAAAGCAGGAGAGTCTGTATAAGATTTCACGATTAATATTTCTTTCAAAAAACGGGATCTTTCGTTATATATTTTGTATAGCGATTATCTTCGAAGCAATGCGTATGCAAATCGACCTGTGTCGATTAGAAACTATGAATGCATTAATAATTGCACTAATTGCCTCGACCGGCCCATTTCGAGCGATTTACCTATATCGCGTTTGATGCGAAAATCGATTTACATCTAGTACACGTGCACCTTCTGCGATTATTACTATTATTACTATTGTTATTGTGTCATTAGGTGCGCGCAAGTGACTAATATCGTTTCGACACGTTCTTGCATGAGATAAACTCGTTAATCATTCGATAATGGGATCGTTCTTAATCCTAGAACAAAAATAAGGTGTACACATGTACACTACATGTATGAATGCATAATTGATCCAAATTTGCCAATTATATTGTAGTTTAGTTATCGCTCTTGATATTTCACTATTCGTTTCCAACATTATGATCAACCGTATGTCCGTGAATGCAGAGAGTATCTATTTTACACATGTGTGATATAAGATGTATAATTACAAATTGCGATACTTATTGAATGCTATGATTATCATGATTTTAAAAAAATCATTATTGTTCATGTATATGGATATTATTTTATTAAAAGAAATTACTTAATGTCGCAATTTTTTTTCAATTAAAAATATAATAACGTATTCTATAAATAAAATTTTTAACACATTCAAGATATTTTTAGATTTTGAATTAAAAAATGTTTCTATTAATGATAATTATAAAATCGCAATTATGAAAGTGGCAAATATAATTAGTATGCTTTATGTGTCTTATATTACATCATATGTTGTATTTTTTTATGACATTTAGTATGTTCAACTTTTCATTTGTGGACATTTTATGTGATAAAATTGTAGATTTTAAAGATACATTTATGCAAACAAAATGGGTCATGAAGAATTCAGTTTAAAATATTCTATTCGGTTGAACTGATCAGGATACGCGAAAATTTCAAGATACAAATTGGATAATAAATTTTATTATATTGCTTTTTCTCTTTCTTTATTAAAATTGTTTTACTTTATTTCTAAAAGTTGCCGTAACTTGTCTCGAAGAAGAAACTTAAAACAATTATAAATACAAAGAACTTATGACAATTGCAAACAATTATAAATTTCAACATTTAAAATATTGTGATGCAAGAACGCAATAGAATAATAAAATATTCAGACAAGGAAAATATTCAAAGTGTAAGAATCGTACGCATAATTTTCCATATAATTAGTAACAAAACCGAGTCACATATACTAATAAATTTTATATAAGTTTTATTTTATCATGTATACAAAGGATAATAAGATACGCAATGGAAAATTGCTCCATATAAAAGTTCTCCGGCATAATTTTTCCTACGTAATTTATAATGCAAACTTGTATAACTTTCCCGAAGTAACTTTTCGCAAACTTTATTCTGCCCGAACTACACTCATTCCCTTTATAGCAAACAAATAAAGTCTTTCGAGAAGAATTTTTCGAGGATAAATATATAGCAAATGTCCATCTATATGATAACATTAAAGCTCGCTAATTGCGCAACGTGATCAACTAGCGACATAAATAGCCGAAAGCGTTTCTGCGATTAATTAGTATTACTGTATATGCCAACTTCAACGACCATGAACGGCCATTTCCGCATGTCCCAGAGCGCCCATCTAATGACAATCATTATGAGGGCGTCTCCAGGTGGAGCATAAATTTAGTCCCTTTGTGGTCAGCAGCCGTCGGCACACTATTTGCAGACGGTATAGTGCTGTCATACTATAGTCTCAATGTGACGGCCTAACAAATTGAATTACTCTCGAACGTTCTCACATTCAAGATTAATTCGTGATTCGCGAATGCAAAGTTATAAATGTGGACCATAAAGAATATAATGAAAAAGATAATACAAAATGTCACTATTCTCTCGATATGATAAATATAAAATTTAGATTATATAAATTAGTGGTAGTTTCAATTAAAATATTAAGACACCTAGCAAAAAAATTTTAACTACTTATTTTTTTATTTAACAATGCAAATAAAAAAAGAGAGAATAAAGAGAGATAAAAAAATGAGAAATACGAATATAATTAAATAATACTGTAAAAAAGCTTAGAAATTCTGAAATTTCAAGGTATACATTTCTCTTGTTTAACATAATAGATGACCATACTTACACTAACCGCTAACAATCCAACATGGTCGATGATGTGCCAAATAATCAGCACATTCTTTTACATACGAAGAAGCACGTGCTGATTATTTCATACACACGTCATTTTTCATTTGTCATATATTTTATTCAACATTTTCATACATGTCATCTTAAAATGTCGGCAGCAAATTCATCGACACAAGCGCGCATATATATATATATATATTTCTAATAACACGAAAAACTCTTTCCACAATTGAAAAGACCATAAATCGTCATATGTATGCACACATTGTATGCATATTAGTATTCCGTACGTCTTCCGCTTAGAGTTCTCTCTGGAGCTTTAAATCCGCCACCGGAGAGATTACTATGCTCTAATGGCTCCAGCATCCTCGCTCTCAGGGATTTGGTTCGCGAAGCTTCGCCCTTTCCGCAAGCCAATGTTACGGATGTTAGCGGTCTAGTGTAGATAGGACGTATATAACACGGTGGAAGGACGCCCACATTGTTCGCGGTCTGATGTCTTGAAGGTCCATCGTGCCTGGCGCTTCTCTCAGTCGCGCTCTCTCTCTCTCTCTCACTCTCTCGACGTTTCGTTGACGCGCGTTTTAGAAGGGGTTGGTTGGAGGGGACGAACAATATACTCGAACTCACTTACCGTGCGGTCTCGCGGCGACACGTGGCACGTGTCCCGGTAGAGTCTCTCTCTGTCGAGCCGTCTGTCTTGCCGCTCTCTCTCTCTCTCTCGACAACTCGCGGATGAACGAACAGACGGACCGTACATCCGTGTTCCGGACATCCACATCCGTGTATTCACTCTCACTCTCCGTAGATAGTGGTAGTGGTAGAGGGAGGAGGGGGAAATGAGCCGTAGACCTGCCTAAGCCCCCTCTCATTCACCACCCTGGGCCCTGAACTCCACGTTCCACGTGAGAATCCATCATCACCATCAAGTCAACAACGAGTAGGCTGCATCTGCACACAGACAAACATTCCAACATAACAATCCCCTTTCCATTCTCTCGTTCTTTCGCTCTTTCTCTCTCTCTCTCTCTTTCTCTCGCTCTCTTTCGCTCTTTCTCTCGCTCTCCCTCTATCTCTCTCTCTCTCTCTCTCTGTCTTTCTCTCTCCCGATTTTCTTCCCGTAATCACCGGTTCCCCACCGCTCGAGATGAGGAAGGCGGGGAAATTCCGGCCGTGTGTGCATTATACGAATCCGTACATGTATATGTTTGTTTTAATACACATAGACTCTTATTTATTATATTCCGTCGAAGAGGGGCTTCGCCGACCCTCTTCCTCTTCGGTCATGTGCGTGACAAGCGAGAGGAGAGATTGAATAATCGTGTGAGTAATATACATACACGTACGGGCGTAATGTATATATGTATAGATATATATAAATATATATATATATATATATATATATATATATGTATATGTACGGCTGACATGCGAGACGATGCTCGTTGGCGACCGGAAACGTTTCCCGTCGTGCGGAAGATGCGCCCGAGTGGTTTCCGATGAAACTTCGATGATGCCATCAAATAGCGAGAACGAGTTGGTCGAGACGACGTAATCCCACGTCTACGTCTTGTTTGATATTCGGTCTATTTGAATTATTATCGCTATTTTGTACATGTATCCCATTTTTGAAGAGACAGTAAAATGTCACTTGAATACTTGACATTCGATATTGGATTTGTCTATACGATTAAACTGGCATATAATGTTAGTAATTTGGAATGAAGAATTATAGACATTATGTCAAAATATAGACGTATGTGAAATGTAATTGTATTATCATTCAACGATGAGAGAACTTTAAGAACAATTTCGATCGTCTATTGAATTTTAAAATTGTCTACACATAATTATTAAAATTTTTTTTTCACAAAGCAGAGACATAGCAACACTTAATCTTTTACTCTTCAATCGCAAATTTACTTTCAACCGATTCTATCAATTTTCCTTGAAAAATTTCCTCATATTTCTTTTTCGCAAAAATGATTTTTTAACCAACTCGACCAACCTGTTCTTTCGAAGTAATCATTGGAACCACTTGGGACCAATTGCACCGATGTCAGAGTTGAAACTAACTCTGCTTATTCTATGTGTCCTCGGTTCCTTTCACAGTCTAGATAGGACTATGAATTAGATTGAGGCAACGAATCGTTAAGCAAAGTTTAGCCAACCCGGACTCACTTCTCGGTCGCATCTCAGATTATTGACTGCAAGAGCAACGTTTCCGATACCCAACCGTATATATCGAGATATATATATATATATATACAATATATATATATACATATGTATATATACGCGCATGTCAGGAATCCCTTTTCGTATATCTGTACCTTCCACAATCCGATTGCTTTATACATATATACATATGGAGCCTCTCTGAAAGCCGTTTCTATACGTATATATATAATATATAGTCGGACTTTATATATATATATATATATATAACATATACACATACACGTATAGATAAATACTTTTTCTTTTTTCGAGCGGTAGGCAGTGGTCGATTTGAATGTTTGTCTGTGAGTGCACTGGTAGCCCTTGCAAGACGTTGTGGTGGTGAGCATATTATTCTGAGAGACGTATGTCATTATTTATTGATTTATTTTCTAGCGATTCTATAGCTCACACGCACGTGTGTGTGCGTATATGTATGCGTGTACATGCGTATACGTATACATATACGTGCGCTGATGACTCGCATTATATTTATCTGTGTGCTATCTTCGCGACGTTGTGGTCCGAGGGTGGAAGATTTTTTATTTTTCGTGGTTTTCCGATGATTGGTTGATTGGTGGTTGGTTGGTTCGTGGGTGGAGGATCCGGCAGATCTACGGCGTGATGTGTGACGTATATATTATGTGGATGCTGTCTCTATCTCTATGTATATGTATATACGATGCCAACGTAATTAGGCATACGTATAATATATATATATATATATATATATATATATATATATATATATTTTGATCGTGGGGTATATCCGATCTCGGAAAATCGATTGTTGTTGATGTTGTTAATTATTATTGTCGATGTTGTTGTTGTGCTTGTTCATGTTGTTGATGTTTGGTTATTTTGTTATATACTTTTCCTTTTTGTATTCTCCTAGACACATACATTCCTCTCTAGCGCTCTTTTTCTGTCTCTCTCTCCCTTTCTCTCGTCCTCTTTCTCTGTCAGGCTATTTTCCTCATCGTTTCCTTTATCGAGTATACGGGATGCGTGAGTCTTCCTTTCGCTCGCTCAAAGAAAATGTCTTTTCCTTATTGACTCTGGTTTACTTTATATCCCGGTTTTATTTCGTCGTCAAAAAGCGACGCTGCCAACATCGGGAGCAGAGCTCGAAGGTGAAGCTCGAGCAAGAAGCTTCTTGAGAGAAAAAAATTGAATAAACGCTTTGTGTTACAATAAAAAAGATTGTATATACCGACGAGCGAATATCACTGGCAAAATTAATTGAACGGAGTCTTTAAGAAAAGGATTAAACGCGTAAAAACAAAATAACTATCAAAATTCCCTATGAATATATATTATTGGACATATTGATAGAGTGACATTCATTTATAATCTCCAAGATTAGTTTGTCCTTATTAAATATTTTCACAGAAAAATAAAAATGATATTTTCTCTACGTTGAGATGTTATAATCAACAATGGGCAGATTAATCTAGTTTACATAATGAGACATGAATCTTTCTCTTAAATATCGATATAGAAAAACTAAAGTATAATAATGTTTGTGCACCGTATGCAATGCTTGAGATGTTTTTATGAAGAGAATAAAAAATATTGTCTTCCTTTTGAATGAATTAAATTTACACAAATATAGAAAAACTTGATATTTTTTCCTTTCAAAAATCCGTTCAAATATGAATACAATATTCGATGGCATACTAACGCGACACATTTCTGCTGCTAGCGATATTTTGCACATAATACCTCAATGTTCGCGTTATTTTATTTTTTTTCGAGAGAAAATGATAGCCGTTGCAAATCCGCATGCGGGATGATCGAATTCATATATGTACGCGCATCCTCGATGTGACGGATTGTGAAAACGTTTGTCCGGCTTCGGCTGCTTGTTCGATTGTATCGATTCGAGAATGACAGATCGGGAACGGAAATGGAGCGATCGCGCGTTCATTAAGAGGAATAATGTTGAGTGAAAAATCGTGCCGCGAATCACAACGGATTTCTGACAATAATACGCAGATGTTCGTCGAAATTGCCCATTTGATTTGTTCCATTCAATTTATACAAGGAAAACAAGATCATTTCGTTCAGCTGTGCAGAAAAATACTTCGGATTAACGAGAGATTTGATATGTAAATGTAAATATTTCTTTTATTTATAGAACGGTAATTCTGCAAAATTTTCAGTTATGATTGACAATTAAAAAAAAAAACAAAAAACAAGAGATGGAGAGAAAATTAATTAGTGCGTGTTAATTTTGTTTTTATATCTTTTATTCTCTGCCCATTATTTCTTTAACTACAAGTTTTTAGCAAACTATAAATAATTTCTTCTTTACTGGAAGATCTAATTACATAGTTATTGCATCCACAATAAATAATTTTAAATAGGCTTTATATCATCTTATTTTAGCACAGATTCAATTTAAACGTTAATATAGAAACTTAATTACAAACACCAATATTGAAACAATATTATTATTGATATTCATATTTATTTAACGTTGGAATATGATGATCGTTTATCAAAGTTTTGCGATTTTGAAAAATATCGAATTCAGATTTATTGCAGATTTGTAATTGAAAGGAAGTAATAAGTTCCGGTAATAATGGAAAAAAACCATGTATGAATAAAAATATCTCATTGCGATTTCTCCGGTATGCGATTAATCTTGCCTTCTAGACACGCACGCAACGTTGTTCGCTAAACTCGATCGCTAATCTTAATCGTTAAACTAGGCCATTGAACAAGAACTGCCCGCCGCGAAAGTGGAATGGCACGCGCGAGTTTCCGATAACTTTAAAAGGGAGAAGAAAACTAGGCGCGAACTTTCACGAGGATATCGCGCGAGAAGACACGTCGTCTTTGCGAGAAAAATTTTTAAGCACCTGTCAACCGTCTCTAAGCAACATATTAGATGAGGAATAACCGTTCTTGCAACTTTTAACTTCAAGTTCCGCGCGCTGCAGTAAAATAATGATAGGTGTCATAGAGTATATTCGGAAAGAGTAAAAAAAATCATAAAGAGAATGAAAAAGCCACTATGAATCAAACTTGTCATAGTTTTATTACTTTGAAATATTTCTTTGAACTATAAAGGAAAAGAATAGAGTTGATTTAACCTTTGGTATTTGCAGTTCAAAGAAAACGCGCACGACTTGTGAAATACTTTATAGAAATATGTTTCGAACTGAATGCATTGAGTAAGATGTATCAGAGTGTAAAAAGTATTTATTAGTATTTTATAATTATCACAATAAAAAAATCGGCATTGCGTTTTATATTTTAGCATACAGTGCAATAAAAAATAAAATAATAAGAATATCTAAAATATCGCTATAGAGAAAGTATATATATACTATTGGAAATCTCCATTACTTTAACAATAGAATATTAACTTTGTGCATCATATAATACATTGTGCATTATATTAAAGAGAATTAATGAGAGAAAGAGAAATTTTTAATTTATTGCTAGAAAAAAGAGGGACTAATATGCTATCAGAATTTATAATCTTCACTACTATATTTATATAATAGAAAACTAGCGTTATGTCTTCTGATATATTTAACAAATCTAAAGAATAAGCAAGTGAAAGATAAGAAATGCACTCGTACACGTGTTTTGCGAATATTAAAGACGATGACATCATTATAAATTCTTTTCTAATTGCACTACTTGCCGCTACGAGCTCTAAGCAAAATTTCTTTGCTTTCTCTAAGACCTGCACATTGCGCGAAGCCGAAGAGAACGCGTTTGTTTCATTGAATATTGCAGAAGCGCAAAGCGAGGCAACACGTGTGCAGGTAGCCACGATTAAAGCGAGCGTTAGACAGAAGC